GTTTGCGCCGAGGAAACAAACTCGTTTAGTGGACCCCCATCCACCTTAATATCCTTTTGTCCCAACAGGTAAGTAAATAATGCAGCTTTCAAGCAAGCAGTGTTGATTTTATGACAGTCATTTATACCGGAGTTGCTTTTCTTCAACAGCATCTCTTTGTTTTTTGATAAGCGAACTTTCTACACTACAATACCTACCTACTTATGAAAAATACGATACAGATAAGTAATTATACCTAACTATAGACTCGTTATTTGATTGTCGTGTTTAAGAGAATCATAAACATTGATAAATGAAAAGTACTTATTAATAGCCGTCAGACAAAATGTGTTTATTCGCCTAAAAATATACAGTGTGAGTCACGTTAAAGTGTACATATGAAAATAGATGAAACTAGACCTATTTTTATCGACAAAAAAGAGGTCAAAAAATTTTTGAGATTTTTTTTAATTTTTTAATGAATATTTTTTCTTCCAATTACTTATTGTAAAGAAAACGTAATAACTTTTAAACTAAGCGGTATATCCTGATAAAATAAAAACAGTAATAATGCTAAATAGCAGGCGATACTAAAAAAATACATAAAATACACAAAAAATGCCAACAAATAAAAAAAATGATACGTTTTGAAAAAAATGTGCTTTTAAATTCGTGTTTTTTTTGTTATTTGATAAATTTCTCCAAAAAATGCCCCTATAACAGGTGGTTTTTATTACTTTGTATTATTCTCTATCGTATTATCTTTGTAAAACCAAAAATCTCATGTCTCTATCCCTGTCACAACATTTGCTATGATCGTTTGAACAAAGGCCTGCCACAACATTATTCTCCGCTACAGGTAGAGACAATTTTAATTTTAACTAAAATGCATATTTTACTTCGAAATCTTTTGTTTTTATTTGAAATCTAACTTGTCTTTATCAAAATTACAAATCTAGAGCCATTTTCAGTTTCGTTGTTAACGAAGCGTTGAATGGCGCGCCCGGAGAGGCTTAGTTCAAACGATCATTGATCGATCGATCGATCCGGTATCCGGTATCCGGCCAAACCACTATCCGTTTCATCTCTAATTGAAGGCATAAAATGTGTTGCAAAATCATATTTCTTACATTTTCACAGTCAGCTGCGCTGAAGTAACGAAAAGTAAGAAGGGTTGAGTTTACTTAACCATAACGATGAAAATCTTTGTGCCAAAAATACTCCTGACATCATAAGCAGTTATGCTTCTACTTGCGCTTTATGAGGCATTTCAGTCTCGGACAACCCATGCCGTAGTCGTAAATATCATGTGGCATCTGCACATGCACCCAAATGCAGACAGCGATGTTCGCGCCAGAGCACCGCTGTGCGTGCAAAATTGTGATAAAAATATGTACCTCCTACCTACACGTCAAACGCACGTCAGACTTGTCCCGGCCGGGCAACACCGAAATACGTACAGGCCCTAAAATACAAGTATTTCTGTTCTGCAAACTAGTGGAAAACTACCACCTACTCATACAAATTACGCAACCTGCGTATGCCTTATTTCCATCGACTGAGCTAAAAATTATAGGACTCTCAATATTATTCAACGGACGAACACTCAAAGTAGGTATGTACTCAAACTAATAAATTAGCCGGGATTTGTACAAAGAAACATTAACCATTATAAGTATTGATCTGCTGTTCAACCTAACACGATACTTAAATAAAATGTAGAGTCCTAAAAAGTTTCAAGATTCACTTAGCCAAGTTTTGCACCGGAATACTCTTCTGCCGTGTTTAATCTATTAATTTAGATTGTTATAGTAATGTAAAATATAACATTTCGCCATTAAAAATGATATGATTGACGGCTGGTAGTGAACGCGTGACGCCTTGACTACGCTACATCGCACCCAAATGCGGCAGACTCGGCGTCGCCAGCTTGCAGCGCGTTGCAGACTGCTTGACGCCGTCGCTGCTCTACTGCCTCCATTGCTTTTGTCTCGTATATTATCCAACTTAGTTGTTTATTATTACCTACATTACTTTCTCGGAGAGTGTGGTGAACAATATACTCGTATGATGCAGGATCACCAATATAAGCCAATATAATATAAGATAAGACATAATTATGAATACCTACGTACGTATCTGTTAGAACAGATGCATTTTCATGAAATGAAATGCTTTAATTGTTCCAAAAATATACTTGGAAATATCTACCTACCTATTTTTATTAGAAATTAAGGCATCGATTTTTATCATTATCATTACTCTTAATTATGACTTTAAGCGGTCGAACCCCGTAAAACACATTAAATATTGAAATAATAACGAGTTAACTTTCGATGTATTTACTGAATCTTAAAAAGCTTTGCGAATCTTTATTTATTAACGTGCTAACAATTCCTTAACACCAATATCCCCTTTAGATCCGTCCAGCATTGCAGCTAATGAACGACAAAATATTCTTAACCTGCATGGTAGAAAAATATTATTACAGTGAATCGGTATAAAATTACAGATTAGAATCATTTTAATTGGTGCAAAAAAGATTTCCAATTCAGACAACTACCTAATTAGGAAATAAATCTAGTATTTTATGACGAGGAATAAAAGATGCCAATAAGTAACTGTAGAATCAGATATTTTATATCTTACACAAACACGAAACATTATTAAGAAAATATAATTAACTTACATAATAAAATTAAAAAACCGATCAAGAAATGTGCAAACTAATTGACGATACAATTTTTTTGGGTTATTTTTATCGATTGTAGAGACTAGTTCAATCCTCAAATCTACACCAGTTTCTAGTTTATTATTCGGTAAGTCACTTAATAAGTAATGATTTTTTTTTTTAAAGATTATTAGTAATTTGTTATTACACAAATTACTAATACTCCCGTTAGCCCCTCGTACTAAGCTAAATATGCTTGTGTCACGAGTGAGCTCACCACCATTTTGATCTCACACCGGAAATAAATATAGTAAGTTTGTAGAACTAGATTTCCAAAAATTAGAGAAAGATATTTAACCAGATAACTTCCTCTGGTATTGGTATCTAATAAACTTAATACGAGTATGTACCTAAAGAGAGATACTTTCAATCTTTGATAGGTCGATGGATAAAAATAATCTTAAAACATAAGGTCTTAATTTCTTAAAATTCAGAATTTTTCGGTCTGGTCTGGTTGGTAATTAACTACAACAAGATAATAACATTAAAAAGCTATTGACTTATATAAATAGCATTATTTCGTGGAAATTTGTACTATGTCTCCGTTAAATCCAATTTGTTGACGAGTAATAATGCCTTAATTAGGAGGTGCACTACGCAAATACTAATGTTTGAAATCGTTAAAAGTTATTTTTGGCATTAATGAATTTGTTAGCAAACTTATTGACACTCTGAAGTAAACAACATTGATTACATCATAATTATCACCTACTTACGTAGGTAGGTACTAACTCCAGTTTGTAGTACTTATTATGTAGTAGTTAGTACATATTTACATAAGCCTAGGCTGATTAATAAGTTTCCGAAACACGAAAAACATAAAAAAATATACGCAAAAAAATTACCTACATTAAATTCTGACATCTTTTCGAAAACAGAACGCCGAATTTAGAACTGTGTACCTACCATGAGTTTACGTTAGGTGTGCTCGCTAGCGAATACGTCAAAAATCTCTATGAAGATTTTGTTTCTTGAAAGTAGCCGCTAGGGGCGCTGCACAATATGTCATACAATTAATGTCATTTTTTTACGCAGTCGCTAGCAAGCACACCTAACGTAAACTCATGGTAAGCACACTGATGGAATTAGTACCATGAGAGGACCTAGAACTTTTTTTGTCATGAATTTTCTTAACAATTGATGCCGTGATAAAGTTAAAGTTTTGAAAGAACTACCAGCAACCCAGATTAAAACTAAGCTAGACAATGTTAGAGATAGTGCTGCTCTTGCATTAAGTACATATAATATATATCTGCATAACTGATTTTTATCGTTGAAGACAGAGCTGCGAGTTTGAACGCGTTTATAATATTTTACACCAACATTTGGATATGAAATTTTCGCGCGATGGGTGCCGCGTTTGCTCGCTGTTACCAAAAACAATATCCAGATCAAACAGCCAAACTCTATGAATTGCGGTTCGAATTCCTACTGCATCTACCCTATTCTCCAGATCTGGCCTCTTGCGACTTCCACTTATTCCGAAACCTGAAGAAATGGTTAGATGGTCAGGGTTTTCCATCAAATAGTGAAGTCACACTGTTGCCGTAGACGAGTATTTTAAGGGGTTTCGGAAAACATTTTTTTGAAGAAGCGCTGGACTAAATGTGTCGAGAAATAAGTACATTTATTTTATAGTTTTTTTTTATCGTTTCGGAAACTTATCAATCTGTCCTCGTAAATAGATCCTGCATTCATGCCATTTTCTATAAAAGGGTTTCGTATTTTTTGCATTTCCAATAAGACTACAACAGCATCTTTGGTGAAATCAAATACTTTATCTTACCATACATAACCATTTTTAAGAATAATGAAAGTACATTAATTTTTTTAACATCATGCATATTTTATTATGATTTTAACACTTTATCTGCGGAAATATATTAACTATTTACCTACTTAGTTCTCTCTTCAATTGGGGAATGCGGTAAATGTATAATTTTTGGGCTTTGGTATTTCAAAATATATTTTTAACCATATAATATATAATAAATAATATATAAATTTAATTTCAAAGAATAGCAGTAATTGCAATGAAAAAACTGACTAAAAGTAAAAATGTAGAGTACTTATCTACCTAACTACTATAAAACTTAATGTTTTCTTAATGTGTTTGTAAAGATAAGTAACTAATGTAGGTAGGAGCAAAAAGTGTTTGAATGAATTTAAAAATTCAAGGAAATGAGGATTACATTTAGGATTAAAACAGGTAGAAAACGGTCGGGAATGGGATGGCGCCGGCGCTACCTGTTTCGAGGGGAGAGAACGTATCTTATAATAAAAATAACTATTTAGTAAACAACTCTCTTTATTTATTTCAATATAATAATAATCATTATAATAATCAATCTTCATAAATGTGGGTACGCTTCATAAAGCCCACATATAAAAATACATTTTTTTATAATCTTATACACAAAAATAAGCGGTCACCTCGAGATGACGGCATAATGCACTATGGCGGCGTGTACGTTAAGGCACGTTGATAGAGGGCTACGCCCCGGGCGGCGCCAGGCGGGCGTCAGCGACTAGATCACAGAAGTTGTGGGGCTCAGCCCCGGCGGCGTCCTCTCATCTGAGCGGCGCCGGGAACGAGGGCATGGCGGCGCACCAGCGCGGCGCGGGGCACGCGGCCAGCGCGCATCCGGCCGCGCTCTGCACGGGCACGAACGCCGACACGTGCGCGCCGCTGGACACCGGCAGCGCCGCCACCGCGGGCCTCTTCTCGTCGTCCAGCAGGTAAGGCCTGAACAGCGTGTAGGGTTTCCGCGGCGGCTCTGGAGCGGAAGGCACAGTTTGTGTGATGCTGGCATGCAGCGTGGGCGGCGGTGATGGTCGACGCACGGACAAGTCTATAGGCTCGGCGGCGGTGGGTATCGGCACGGGCATCGCAGGCGGCAAGGACGCCGGCAGCGGAGTGGGCACCTGTATCGGCGTCGGGACCACGGCAGGCGGCGGCGATGGCAGTCTTGCACTTTCTGGAGATCCAGCCGCGTACGGCGGTGGTGAGGGCGCCGGTTGAGGAGCTCGCCTTAAAAGCGCCGCTCGCAATGTAGGTTCAGCTTGAAGCCACTTTTGGATCTGTCGACGGTGTATGCCAAACTTTCTGGCAGTAGCTCGTTGATTGCCGCGACATTGAGCGTCGCGCCTGTACGCTTCTAGAACTTGTAGCTTGAATTGTGGTGGGAAGATACGACGGGAACCAGCGCGACCCTCAGGACGGCGGTCGGAGGGCGCGGGGGCCGAGTGAGTGTGAGCAGCGGCCATTTTACTAGGGGAACGTGTGCGCGTGGCGGCTGTCGGCGCCGAACTGACTACTCGCTCGGGCGGCGAGGATGTTGGCGGCGCACCGCTGCCCACCCGACATGAGTGTGCGACGCGAGACTCGTATACCAGTAAGCCGGTGTTCACAATGCTTGCCAATTTCGTCAGGAAACTGTTTTTTTTAGTATTAGTGGTGTGGTGTCAGTCGCCTCTATATCTAATCTTTACTGTGTAAAGCCATTTATAGATATAACTATTTAGTGATATTATAAATGGCTCTACAGTTCTACACCCTTACATGCAAAATTTTAGGAAATTTAAATGGTCAAATTCATTAATTTTTTTTTAATTGACTTCCACTGTTTTTTATTTCTTAAATTAATTATATATCTTTTATCAGCTTTTTTATCTATTTATTTTAAGTGTGTAACTTACGCTGATTTTAGCTTGTTACACTATTGTTGTTCTTTTAATTTTTTTTAATAGTAATTTGTAATTATTTCCTTTCATTTTCTTTTTCCCCAATTCTTCATTCTTATAGTACTTTTTATTCTAGCATTGCAAGTTTATTATTATATCACTAACATTAAACATTCATTTTTTTATCTTGAGCTTGGACACAAGTCAATATAATTGTGATTCTGCGAATAATTACTACATAAAATGTAATAAAAAAATTGAGCAAAGAAAAAATTTAAGTCAATGGTGAACACATCCTATTTCAGTAATCTCGCCTCATTCTCGGCGTGAAAAAATGCCGCAAGTGGGAGCCGATAGCTTGTAGCGCCACCATTGCTATCTTGCTCATACTCTTATAAAGTTAAATGTTGAAGCGAGACAGCATTATTACTGCCTAGGTCGCTGCCACATCCGTTTACGAAACAAGTTTGCATGCGACGTTGCCGTTCAGTGCGCGCGGGTGGTTCATGAGTTTGGAGGGGGGCGCGGGCGGACAAGAATGTGCACAGAGCGACAACGTGGCCGACCGTGGCAGACAGGGTGTCGCCGGCTCGCCGCCGTAGACAGGCCGTCGCTCGGCGGCGCTAGCCCCCTTCGGCACCCGCTCACACCCGCGCTGCCCGCATCGAACATCAACAAGTTATTTCGGCTCAGCACAGCGTGCGACGAAAAGATCGCAAGTGGCACGGTAACTCTGTGCAGTTACTGCGTTCTTGCTCTGAGCAGTCGACTTAGCGCCATCGCCGTTTCGAGGAAAGTTGTTTTTTTGTAGAGCGCGCGGCCGCCTGCCGCGCCTACCTCGCGTCCGGCGACCGTGAAAACAGCAATCCAATCCAACGCACCCTATGAAATAATTTTCATAAAATTAATTGAAATAGATTTCAGTCTGTGTTTAAATATTTTGAAAGAAAGCAGAGTCGAGGAACAACAAAACATATTATCTTGATTTAGCCAATATTAAAATATTGAAAAGTTTTTAAATAATTAGCTGCCCTAAACAGGTTAACAGGATTATTGTCCTTGGGGAGAACAGTTTACTTTGTTAACTTATTATTTCATGTTTTTTAAAGGAATACTTAGGTACCTACTTATTAGTTATTTGGATACAAAACCTGCGTCCCGTACGTAGAATTACCTTAGGTACGAGTTACCCACCTACAATAGTTGACTAGACTGAAAGAAACATCTAAATGTATATTTGAGAGAATTCCAAGTTTAGTTTTGTAAAAGTACTTAGCGATAATTAAAAAAAACTGTAAATTTTTCACTTCAGTGGGCGAGTATAAAATTAATTGCTCATACCACACTACCACTAACTATCCACTAGCCAGTTAGGATTCATCTATTAATAATCTTAATTAATATACCTATAATAATTTTCGGTTTTCATCATTATTTTTTAATTTATTCGTAACTAGTGTGTGGTCACAGTGCTAATTCATTTTTCGGTATTTGATTGAGTATTTTGCACGGTTAGTATACCTATACATTAGTATACATGCACCGTTAAGTTAATTAACAGTGAATTACATTTGATTGCCGAAACTGTTGTTTGTTTTCTCTAAAAACTAACTCGGAAATACTCCACTAATAAAATGTAATAACTTTTTTTTATAAAACTTGCAGTTATTCGATCAGTCTCAAACAATCAAATTGTAGAGTCACATATAAGGTGTCCCCGGATTTGTCCTAGTTTAGAGGGAGTCCGAGGAGCTTTTATTCGTTGTCCGGGTATAAAAAAATTAAGTTTTAGGCCAATGCCGGGCGACGTGACTAAGTTTTATAAACACCTGTTGACATATCCGGGTTCTGGGCTTCAAAATCCGAGGTTTTCATGCGTCTTGTCCTAGTTGCTAAATTTTAGAGACGGCAACACTAGTTACACACAATGATTTCCAAAACAAATTATGTATAAATTCAATATAAACACGTCTATTATGACAGAGTTCCTTCCTATTAAACAGGCAAATAAATAAAATACCTTCTTCAAGTATCGTATAAGCTCGCTCATACAGGAAAACTTATTAGATTTTTCCGTACAGGACATGACATTAACGCCTAGATATTTATTACTAAATGCTGTAATTATCTTGTTACATAATAGTGCTATTCTAAATACTTAGTAGTAATGTCAATATAAATCACAAAACACGTATTTACATGATTTACATGTAATAGAAGTTAGGGGTATTATTTTCAAAGGACCCTAATTCGTTGATGTCTTTTTTTTGCAATTAAGCGATAGGTTACGTAACGCAGGTGCTACGAAGGTCAGCGTCGGAGCAGGGGCGTAGTACTAGTGTAGTAATTCTGTAGCCGGAGGGATACGATTTATGATTTTTTAACACGTATAAATTAACAGGATTATTTTTTGAACCTAAATGTTGTTTGAACACACTTAAAACCTGTGTATTTTTACTAGGATTTTATGAGGTTTACACGTTTGGCATGATAGTTAAGTGATTAAAAAATGATTTGGTTTGTTTTGTTTCTGTCTTGCGTGTATTTACAATCAAATAAACGTGACAGAATTTAAGCATAGCTAAGCTTTCGTGTTGTTGGTAAAGTTTTGTCTGTGAATGTGTAATGAATAATATTTTGCCATAGAAGTGTAATTTAAGTATCGATCAGTCCAATAGCTACTTTAAAATTGTATTATATTTCGTCGTTACGAGCTAATTGCAACTGTATTCCTGTAGTAACTGACAAGCAAGGTCATAGTACCCAGTAATTTAATCCACCATGACATCATGGCGTTCACAAAATATTCCATCAGTGGTGGTGGCCAGTTTTTGCAGCGGCCCGCGTTAGTTACATCGCGGGCTGTTTGCGACTCATATTTTGCTGTTCACTACAGTTTTTCTGTCATGTTTTTATCAGTGCAACATGATCACTCGTTTCAAGGTAAACTGACTGTCCGAGTAATTGGAATGTTTTTAATTCTCGCTATCATTTATTGTAGGTACTTACTGTGAAATGTCGAATTAGGTACCTAATTCGTTCGTGTGATAGGTAGACTACGTTATATGTATGTGGTACTAGGTACTGTCTCTTTATCTTTTCCTAAAGAGCCGATCTTTACTAGGTATCTTTAAAATACGTCGAAACATACAATTTTGTAAGGTTAGATGGTACAGACAGTATACTCATATTTTACAAGCGAATGGTTCATCAAAGTCCGTGTCACGTGTTGCTGTTGGCCTTTAGGTCCAGCGAAGTAATAATACCTTTGTGTAGAGTATAACAGACGAGCGGCCGCTTATAAAGCGAGTTAATAGGACCTACAGACACATCGACGCCGATGCCTCCCAGATAGCAAGCGAACTTGCTTTTTTTTTTTTTTTNGGGCTGTTTGCCATACCAATGATACATTCTAAAGCAGAACGACTTACGACTGATGTCGTTCTTTCGTACTATATACCTTATAACGCAAGATATAAGTCTCTATCTACTAAAGAAATCCTCTACCAGCTATAAAACACTTCAGTGGCCGAAACATCGCACAATCACAACGACTTATGTCACCCTATCTAACAGATAAGTTTGATTTATATTGCCATCAGAATAAGGTCAAAATTAAATAGTAAAGCCGCGTGGACACAGGATGGAGGTTGAAGAGCTCGGCACACGTGCGTACCAAGCGTCACCCAAATGAGGACCAGTTCGAACTCGGAACATATCTCTAGAGATCGTAGCTTTGATAACTGTATCAATAATATGGCTTCTAACTGATCTTAATGTGTTTAGTTGCTTTGTTAAGGGCTATAATTCTCGGGGCCTCTCAAAACCCAAGGACTCTTAGTAAAATATTATAGTTATTTCTTGTATCCTCGTCCCGTCCACGTCTACTAAATGTACGTCTAGTCAGGATACGTATAACATTAATAGATTCATGACAATTTTATTGACTGTATGATTTTTATCTAAGTAAGTAGGTACCTATACCACACCTATACCAACAAGATGTAGGTACCTATTTTAAAACACCATTTCACCACAAACTTACTAGTTTAATCTATTGCGCAGTTAAGTTTGTGACTTGCCATGAATCACTAGCAGGATTTTAAATGTTTTAACAGCTCTACAATAACTTACTGTGCAATCGAGTAAATTCATTACTTTAAAAAAATACTTATAGCTATAATTACTACTTACTAACACTATTATGGACCCCGGTCTGACAATAAATTTTTTCAATTCAATTCAATTCAATAATAGGTAGGTAGGACTAGCAGATTTGATAATCTATAATCTATCTATAATATATTTAATATAAGATTAGATTAGGTGATTACCAAATCTTGTCGATTACGTATGAGCATTGGCTTTTGGGTAAATTGAAGTAGATTAAACATAGATTGGTTCTTAATTTTGCCATCAGAAAAACAATAAAGTAGGTATATTATCATCCAGTCCATCTGACACAAGAATAGAACAGGTTCCGATAAAACTTCTATGTATTTTAGATTACTTGTTTTCTACTGCGCTGTTCAAGTTTATTGGCGCATAAAATTATACTTCAAATTATAGTTAATAATATAAAGCAAAGTTGAAACGGAGGCAAACGTACGAGGTGGTGAGACGTCCGGTCGCTGGCAACCGGTTTCTGGTGAACTGGTCATCCGCGCCCGCTGCGCCCGCGCGCGCCGGCGATATTTATCTCTCGCCCGCTCGCCTCATTCACGACCACATTAGCTTTCTACGACGAAAGAGGAAAAACATTACATAAATTCGACGCCGAA